TGCAACATCGAAAATCAAAATAAAATGTAGTGTTTTATTCAATAAGCGGAAGTCAGGATATTAGTTTATTTTCTGTTTCACACTACTTGCTTAGATAAAACTGATTTTGGCAAATGAGATACCCTGTAAGAAAAAGAGATCATTTGCTAAGATAAGACTGATTTTTGCAAATGACGTATCCTCTAAGAAATTCAATTAAATTATTACAAAAAAAGACACTAGAGGCTCCAAAGCACTTTCAAATTTTTTCCAAACAGGAATACCTAGAACCTCAAGATTGTTTTAAATGTTTCAAAAATAGGCCAAGGCCGATAATTTTTGAGACCAAAAAAATTTAGAACGGGATGATACCCATTGGAAAAGGAAAAAATATAACAAAAAAATTGGTCTAAAGAGTTTAGACAGTACTTCCCTCGCTGTTGGAAACGTGACGACTGCATGCCTAATATATTATATTTTTTCTCGCATTAGATTTCAAAGCATCCGGTTTTGTAGTTCTTGATTAAATCACTAAACTAAATTTGCGCATTCAATGAATTTTTTGAGTCACCCTGTATATCCAAATCCAAAAAATATGAATGGAATGATAAATTACAAGAAGAGACTCATCATATTTTGTACAGTTTAGATAGGATTATTCGGCAAAATTTTGAGCTGATGTCATCAATTTTTTGGAGGGGATAAGCAAATATATTTTTACTAAAAATTTATTATGCTCGTTATAAACTTGAAACATTCGCAAGATTTCAACATTCGGTTCTGTAGTTCTTGATTAAATCAATAAAATAAATTTACCCATTCATTAATTTTTTGGGTCATCCTGTATATGCAAATCCAAAACATGAATGGAATGATAAATCACAAGAAGAGACTCATCATATTTCATACATTTTAGATTTATTCAGCAAAATTTTGGGGAAACGTCATCAATTTTTTGGAGGGGATAACTAAATATATTATGATTAAAATTATATCATGCTTATCATAACTGTAAACCATCTGCAAGATTTCAAAGCATTCGCTTTTGTAGATTCCAATTTAAATGTCAAAATATCGTTTCCTAATTTTGATTTTTTTTCCCGAAAATCTGGAAGTTTCAGGTAAAATCTCAATTCGGAGTCATAAACTACATGTGTAAGACTATGCTATTTGATACAATTTAAAACCCAATTATTATGTACAATTTTGAAGTGACGTCATCGCATTAGTGGTCGGGCTGACTAGACAAATTTTGGTTAGCGTTTTACCATCTACATGATATACCTAATGTAAATACAAAATTTGACAACAATTGGCCCAGTACTTTCGGAGATTTATTATCTGTCTAATAAAAATCCGGGACGGCAGACAGACAGACAGACGGACAGGCGGACAGATAGACGGAAATGGGAGACCTATTTCTTCGTCTTCTAGGGGTCATGAAAGGTCGAGAAAATGTAAAAGTAGAGACGCTCGGGAAATAAAAATGAAAAATTGAGAAATTGAAAAATCGAAAAATGAAAATCTGTAATATTGAAAAATTGCTAAATTCAAAAACTGATGCAAACCGAAAAATTGAAGGAACGAAAAACTGAAAATTTTGGAAGTCGAGAAATTGTAAAATTGAAAAATCAAAAATAAAAAACGAATAATTACAAAATGAAAACTTGAAAAATTTTAAGAATCGAAAAAGTGAAAAATCAAAAAAAAAGAAATATGTATTATGAAATAGAAATATTTAAAATTAAAGAAATTGGAAAATCGGAAGACTGGAAATCCAAAAACTGCAAAGTGAAAAATTTAAAAATTGAATAATGAACGAACTGAAAATTCAAAGCCTGAAAATTTGAAAAAGTGTAAAATCAAAAAAAAAACACAAAATAAAGGAAATGAAAAAACGGACAATTGTGATATAAATCGAGAAAATAAAAATTAAAAATTCGCCACATTAAAAATAAAAATCGGGGACATGAAAAATTGCGGAAAAACAAAAATTAAAAACTGAGAATGTGAAAAATCGAAAAATGAGAAACTGTAATATCGAAAAATTGAAAAGTTTAGAAGTCAAGAAACTGTAAAATTGAAAAGTCAAAAATAAAAAGGTTATAACGAATGTTGAAGATTGCATTGAATTACAAAATAGTTTAGATCGTTTACTTAACTGGTGTGATGATAACTTGCTAACTGTTAATAAAACTAAGTGCAAAAAAATAACGTTTGCCAGAATACATAATCCAGTTAATTTTTATTATAACATTAGAGGATACGTTCTAGAAAACTGTAAAGAAGTATTAGACTTAGGTGTCATTATAGATAGTACGCTCTCTTTTCATTCACATGTTATACATATCGCAAAACACGCTATGAAACTATTAGGTTTTATTTATAGAAATACGAAAGACTTCTCTAATACTCGATGCATTAAATTATTATTTTATACATTGGTTAGAGCAAAATTAGAATATTGCTGTACAGTATGGAAACCTTACCATGTAACATATATAGATCTATTAGAGAATGTACTGAGAAAGTTTGCGAAGTATGTATATTTTAAGATGTTTGGTAGATATCCTGTCAGACACTGTGATCAAAGTAGTTTACTTGACATTGTTAGTGAAAATTCTCTACTTAGTAGGAGGAATATGTCATGTTTGATATTTTTACAAAAAATTGTAACGGGACAAATTTATAGTCAAACTCTTCTCAATGAAATTAAATTTAATGTACCCAGATTAGGCAGCCGCATCCAGATAAGTTTTTCATATAACATTCCAAACACACTTCACCACTTCAATAGTCCTCTAATAGCTTGTATTCGTTTGTATAATTATATTATTAGCAGAGATCAAAATATTGACATTTTCTTTAATAATTTTTGTAACGTTGGGATTAGGAATAAGATACTGAAAATTGTAGTTGCTATGTTGTAATGTCGTTGTATCCACTAGAGACATAATTGTCTGCTGGAAATAAATTTACTTATTATTATTATTATTATTATTATTAAAAAAGACGAAAAAGTTTATAATGAAAACTTGAAAAATGTCAAAAGTGAAAATCAAACATGAAAATTTGAAGAAACGAAAATTTGAAAAATTGAAAGATTAAAAATTGGAAAACCGAAAATTCGAATTGAAAAACTGAAAATTCGAATTGAAAAACTGAAAATCGAATAGTCGAAAAATTAAAGAATCCAAAAATCGGAGAACTGAAATAACAAAAATTAAAAATTAGTGAAATTGAAAGATCTAAAAATTGAAAAATCGAAAATTTGTATATCCGAAAGGAAAATTAGAAAACCGAGACAACGAATAATTGAAAAATCGAGAAATCCAAAAATTGAGATTAAGAAAGACAAAATCGAAAAAAAAAAATCCAAAAATTGATAAACCAAAAATCCAATGATCGAAAAATTGAAAAACTGGGAGGTTGAAAGATCGAACAGTTGAATAATTAAGAAATCGATAAATCAAAAAATCGGGGAAATGCAAAAATATCAGAAATCGAAAATTTTCAATTTTTATGTTTTTCATTGTCTCAATTTTTCAACTTTTTGGAAAGATTGAAAAATATATAAATTGAAAAATCAAAAAATTGATAAATTGAAAAATCGAAAGACTTAAAAATCAAAAAATTGAAAAATTAAAAGATCATGAAAGCTTGAAAAATTGGGAAATCGAAAAGTAGACTAAACTAAAAAATCGAAAAACTGAAAAACTGAAAGATCGAATAGTTTCAAAAATCGAAAAACTGAGACAATATTGAAAATTTGAAAAACCGAGATTCGTAAAGTCGAAAAATTGGAAAATCGACAGGCTGAAAAATCGAAAAAAAAAAATCTAAAAAGTCTAATAAAAACTTGAAAATGTATAAAGTGAAAATCAAACTTGAAAATTTGAAGAAAAATTGCTAAAAGCCTGAAAATTTGAAAAATTTAATAAAGGAAAATTTTGTAAAATCGAAAGAAACAACAAAAAAATAAAGGAAATCAAAAAAAGGAAAATTGTGATATAAAATCGAAATAGTGAAAATTAAAAAACCGGAAAATGAAAAATAAAAATCGGAAACAAAAAATTGGAAAAGGGAAAAATGAAAAATTGAGAAACTGAAAAATCGAAAAATGAAAATCTGTAATATTGAAAAATTGCGAAATTGAAAAACTTATGCAAACCGAAAAATTGAAAATTTTGGAAGTCGAGAAACTGTAAAATTGAAAAGTCAAAAATAAAAAGACGAAAAAGTTTATGATGAAAACTGAGAAAATGTCAAAAGTGAAAATCAAACATGAAAATTTGAAGAAACGAAAATTTGAAAAATCGGAAGATTAAAAATTGAAAAACTTAAAATTCGAAAAAGCGAAAAATAAAAAAAAAGAAATATGTATTGTAAAATCAAAATATTGAAAATGAAAGAAATTGAAAAATTGGAAGACTGGAAGTCCAAAAACTGCAAATTGAAAAATTTTAAACGTGGAAAATCATGGAATTGAAAGATCAAAGCCTGAAAATTTGAAAAATTGAATAAACAAAGAATTGTAAATCAAAAGAAACAACAAAAATTATCGGAAATAAAGAAACCAAAAATTCGAACCCGAAACATAGAAGAGAGTTTTAAAATTTTTAATTTAATATTATGACAAAGTAGCAATTTAAAACTTGCAATCAAGCTTCATTTCGTGTAAATACTAAATACAGAGTTTTCAAATCAACATTTTGTCCAGGAATTACCTTCTTTAAATTTTCAAAAAAATGTTTCCATAGTTAAAAGCAAATTAAATACAAGTTCTGTTGGATATGTTAATGAATTAACTTTAAATTCTCTTAAACAAGCGAATTTCATATAAAGTGTAGAAAATTATTTCGTCTAATTCTTGCCAAATTATTACCAGCAACATTTTTATTTTTTTTTAAATTCAAACTGTTAATTTTTAATGTCCCATTATCGATATTTTCGCAAAATTAACTCTTTACCGGTGATCAAGCGTCTCCAACAAGTCTTGACCTTCATCATCCTATCAGAACATTAACCTATACTCGTTCGGTAACGATAAAAGACGATACGAAGAAAAACACACATTATGTAGTCAGTTTATAAGGTGCAGCGACACGTTGACAACAAATTCGTTACACCGGTAAGTTCATTTTCCATTTTCCATATCAAAACACGTCTAACTTAAAATTAATAATTTTTAGTGACGAAAAATGAAGCCAATTATCACCCTAATTTTATTCCTTTTTTACTTTTCGTCCACTTGCGAATCTTCAAAATGCGTCAAACAAACCTTCACCCCTGAGTCCATCCTCACAGGTATAACCCACACCCGCTTCAAACGAGACACCCCTAAATTAGAAGAAATCGTTTGTACTAACGTCACCGCAAACCTAGACCTCGACATCGCCTACGAAGTGAAACCCTATCGACAGGAACTCTGGATTCGCGACTCCTCCATCCCCAAAATTCCGGCCAACTCCTCCCTGTCAAGATTCACCCACATCCAGACCTTGCGCATCATCGGAGTGGGTCTGGAACAAATCGAACCCGGCGCTTTTGATAAACTAACACAACTCAAAGAACTCAACCTGAACGTCAACAACCTGACCAAAATCTCCAAGGGAGTTCTGAACAACCTACCCACCTTGGACACGCTCAACCTAGCCGTCAACCAAATCAGCGAAATAGAAGAAGGCAGCTTCCAGGGGCTCGACAACCTAACCACTTTGAACATCTACGAAAACAAGATCACCTCGTTTGGGGAAAACGCCTTCAGCGATTTGAAAAGCCTGGACAATTTGTGGATTTCGCACAACCCGTTGACGGAATTCGCGCCTTCGGAATTCCCGAATTTGAAGAGCATCATCGCTATTAAAACTGAACTAAAGACTCTTGATATTGACTTCACGAAATCGCCGCTTGATCATCTCAAACTGACGCAGGGGAAATTGGAAAAAATCGACTTTGCGAAATTTCCTTCCATGACGATGCTCCAACTCGAAAAAAATCTAATTAGTTCTGTGAAAAACTGGGATAAGTTGGACTGTCGCCGGGTGTTTTTGCACCACAACAAAATCACCTCGTTTGACATTTCTGAAAACGTCGTGGATTTGTATTTGGAGTTTAACCAGATTACTAAAATCACTAACACTTTCGTGGGGCGAAACAAAAAACTGAAAAATTTGTATTTGAATGGTAATAAAATTTCTGAAGTTACGTCTGACGTGTTGAAGGGGTTGGTAGAACTGCAACATTTGAATTTAAATAATAATGAGATTGCGGTTTTGAAAAAGGGGACTTTTGTGAATACTCCGATATTGCGTAAGTTGGATGTGGCTCATAATAAGATTGCAGCGATTGAAGTGGATGCTTTCAAGGGGTTGATTAATTTTGAGGAGTTGGATATTTCGGATAACGATTTGGTGAAATTGGAGTCGCCCGTGTTGTCTGAACTGAAAAAGGCGAATGTGATTGTTGGTAACACTGACATTGAGTGGCAGTATGTGGTAACCCTGGTGCTCAACAGTGATGATTTGTCCTTGCAACTGGACCAAACGTTCTGGAACTGTGAAAGCACTGAGCCTGGATATGTGCCCAAATATATTACTAAACATAATGTAAATAATACTATGTGTTCGTTCAAGAAGAAACAGTAATGTGATTTTGTGTAACAGAGTATTTTGAATAAATCATGAATTATTAGTGTATGATTTTATTTTTGCTACAATATTTTATTAATAATTTATTTAAAGGAGTTTTTGGATTACTCTAATTTTCGAATTCTCGATTTGTCAATTTTTGTATTCTTCAGCTATTCGATTGATCGAATTTTTAATTGCCTGATATTTCAGTTTTGCGATTTTTCACTCTTTAAGTTTGCGATTTCTCACTTTCTAGATTTTTCGATTTTTTGTCTTTGAAAAATTGAATAAATCTAAAAACTGAAAAATAGAAATTTTTTTTGAAAATTTTATTGAAAAGCCGAAAATCCGAGAGATCGATAAATCGAAAAACTCAAAAATTGAAAGATCGAATAGTCGAAAAATTAAGAAATTAAAAAAAATAAAAAATCGAAGAACTGAAATACCAAAAATTTTAAAATTCCAAAAATTGAAAAATCGAAATGCTGGAAAATGGAAAAATTAAAATCGAATGATTGAAGAATTAAAAACGTGAAAAATCAAAACTTGAAAATTCTAAAATTTGAATAACTGAAAGATAAAGACATCGAAAAATCGAGGACGAAAAAAATTTGAAAAATCGAAAAATCGGGTAGTCGATGAATTGAAAAATCGAAAGACTGAAAAATCGAAAAAAAGAAATCCAGTAATCGATAAACCAAAAATCTAATAATCGTAGAATCGGAACTCTAAGAAGTTGAAAGACCGAATAGTCGAAAAATTAAGAAATCGAAAAATCGAAGAAATGAAATATCAAAAATCGAAAATCTGTAAAATTGAAAAATAGGGACAACGAAGAATTGAAGGATAAACTGAAAAATCATAAACTTCAACTTTCCGATTTTTCAATTTTTTGGTGTCGTTGTTTTTCAATTTCCAGATTTTTGGATTTTTCGATTTTTGAATTTGTATAATCGAAAAATTGGAAAATAGGTATGTAGAAAAATCTAAAAATCGAAAAATTCAGAAATTGTGAAATCGACACATCGAGAGTTTGAAAAATCGAGAAATCGGAAAGAAAATCCAAAAAACGGAAATATCTAAAAAGTGAAAAAAGGAAAATCGAAAAATTAAAAAAACTAAAATTTGAATGATCGAAAAATCGAGAAATAAATCGATCGAGAACGAGGAAGACAAAATTTAAAATTTGAAAAATCGAAAGACCGAAAAATTGAAAAAAAGAAACCAAATACATAATAATAGAAAAATCGAGGAAATGAGAAGTTGAAAGATCGAATAGTCGAATATAATTAGGAAATCGATAATTCGAAAAATCGAAGAAAAAAAATATCAGAAATTGAAAATTTTTATAATCGAAAAGTTGGAAAATGAGAAAATTAAAAACCGAGAATGGAATAATTGAAGAAACAAGAAATCGAAAAATCACAAATTTCAATTTCTAGATTTCTCAATTTTTTGGTTTTGCAGTTTCTCAATTTTTGGGTTTTGGATTTTTTAATTTTTCATTGTCTCGATTTTTAGACTTTTTGACAGATGGTAAAATATAAAAATTGGAAAATCGAAAAACTGAAAAATCGTAAAATAAAAAAGCTGAAAAGTTGAAGAATCAAATAATCGAAAAAATAAGAAATCGATAAATTGAAAAATTGAGAAACAGAACTATAAAAAATTGAAAATTCAAGAAATTGGAACGACTATAAATTGAAAAATTAAAAATTTGTGTAATCGAAAAATTGTGAAATGGAAAAATTAAAAAAATTGTGACAACGAATAATTGAAGAAACGAGAAATTGAAAACTCACAAATTTCAATATTTTGAATTTTTAGGTTTTGCCGTTTTTCAATTTCTGGATTTTAGGATTTTTCGATTTTTCATTGTCTCGAGTTTTCGATTTTTTGGAAGATTGAAAAATAAAAAAAATTGAAAAATTGATTAATTGAAAAATCGAAAAACTGAAAAATCGGAAAAAACAAAATCCAAAAATCGTTGGATCGAGAAAACTAAAACTAGAAAAATAAAAAAATTGAAAAGTTGAAAGATCGAATAATCGAAAAATTAAGAAATCCAAAAATCGAAAAATCGAAGGCCTGAAATATGTACCAGAAAATTGAAAATTCGAGAAACTGAAAGATCTAGAAATTGAAAAATCGAAAAACTGTGTAAACGAAAAGCTGGGAAATGGAAAAATTAAAAAACGAAACAACGAATAATTGAAAAGAGGAAAAATTGAAAAATCCCATATTTGAATAAATGAAAAATTGAAAACGGAAAAGACAAACACGAAAATTTAAAAAATCAAAAAACGGAAAATCGGAAAATTGGAAAATCGAAAAAAGAAAAATTCAAAAATCGATAAACCAAAAATATAATAATCGAAAAGTCGAAAAACTGAGAGATTAAAAGATCGAATAGTTGAATAATTAAAAAATTGATAAATCGAAAATCCAGGAAATGAAATATCAGAAATCGAAAAATCGAAAATCAACAAATTGAAAAATCGAGAAACAGAACAATTAAAAAAATTGAAAATTCGAGAAATTGAAACATCTTACATTTAAAAAATCGAAAATTTCGGAAAACGAATTATTGAATAATCGAAAAAGTGAAATATCGATAAATTGAAAATATGGATAACTTAAAGAGGAATCGAAAAATGAAAAACCGAAAAAACGAAAATGAAAAAGACAAGAATCGAAAAGTCGAACAATCGGAATACCCAGAAATTGACAAACCGCAAATGTTGAAAAATTGAAAAATCTAGAAATTGAAAAATCGCAAATTTCAATTCTTCGATTTTTGAATTTTCAGGTTTTGTAGTCTTTCAATTTCTGGATTTTTCTATTTTAAGATTTTTAAAATTTTTCGATATATTGACTTAAAATTGACAAATTCTAAAAATTCCAAAAGCCGAGAAATCGAAAAGTTGAAAAATCTAAAAATCCAGAAACTGAAATATCGAAAAATTGAAAATTCAAGAAAATGAAAATCTCAAAATTGAAAAATCTAAAATATGAATTGTCGAAAAACTGGGAAACAAAAAAATTGAAAAATCAAGTTTACAAATAACTGAAAAATCGGGAAATTGAAAACTGAAATTTTAAATAAGTGAAAAATAGGCAAATGGAAAAATCGATGTAGCGAAATACGAAAATCGAAAAATGTAAAAGTCGAAAAACTGCAAAACTGAAAAACTGAAGAGTTTAAAACCAAGGAACTAAAATTGAAAAACTGAAAAATCGAAAAAGTGGAAAGCCGAAAATCCGAAAAACTGAAAAACTGAAAGATCGTATAGTCGAAAAATCAAAAAATCTAAAAATAAAAAAATCAAAGAACTCAAAAAATTGAAAATTCGAGAAATTGAAAAATCGAAAATTTGTATAACCGAAAAGCTGCGAGGCAATTGAAAAATTAAGAAACCGAGACAACGAATAATTGAAGAATCGAAAACTTGAAAAATTAAATAATTGAAAAATCTAAAATTTGAATAATTGAAAAACCGAAAAATCGAAAGATGGCGGACGAGAAAGACATCGAAAATTTGAAAAATCGAGAAATCGGAAAATCGAAAAATTGGAAAATGGGAAAACCGAAAAATCGAAAAATTCAGGAATCGTGAAATCGATAAGTATTCTACCGATTTTTCGACTTTAAAAAAATGTTAAAAATGATAAAAATTGAAAAATTGAAAAATCGAAAAATCGGAAAACCGAAAATCAAACAATCGGATAAATCAGAAATCCTGAAATGGAAAAGCTGAAAGATGGAAAAATCAAGAAACTGAAATATTAAAAAATTGAAAAATTCGGGAAACTGTAATTCTAAAAATTAATAAATCGAAAATATAAATAGGCGAAAACTGGGAAATAGAAAAATTGAAAACCCAAGTTTACGAATAATTGAAGAATTGAAAAAGTGAAAAATCGGGAAAGTGAAAAACTGAAATTTTAAATAACTGAAAAATAAAGAAATAGAGAAATGAAAAAATCGAGGTAGTGAAATATAAAAATCTAAAAGTCGAGAAATTTCAGAACTGAAAAATTGAAAAGTTTAAAACCAAGGAACTAAAATTGAAAATTCGAGAAATTGAAACATCTAAAATTTGAAAAATCGAAAATTTTGTAAAATCGAAAAATTGGAAAATCTAAAAATTGAAAAAGCGCAAATTTCAAATTCTCCATTTTTTTAGTTTTGTGGTCTTCTAATTTCTGGATTCTTCTTTTTTTCGACTTTCCGATTTTTAAATCTCCAGATTTTTCGACTTGAAAATATGTTAAAAATTCTAAAAATTAAAAAATAGAAAAATTATAAATCGAAAAACCGAAAAAAAAATTGACAAATCGGAAGTTTGAAAAACCGAGAAAGTCGAAAAACTCAAAAATCGAAAAAAGAAAAATCCAAAAATAAATAAACACAGAAAACTAAAAATCGAAAAATCAAAAATCTGAAAAGTTGAATGATCGAATAGTAGAAAAAATAAAAAATCGATAAATCGAAAAATCGGGGAACAGTACAAAAGTTGAAAATTCGAGAAATTGAAACATCTAAAAACTGAAAAATCGAAAATTTTAGATAATCGAAAAATTAGGAAATAACAAGATTGAAAAACACAACAAATAATTGAAGAAACGAAAAAGTGAAAAATCGATACATTGAAAATTTGAGTAACTGAAAAGGAGAGAAATCGAAAAATGAAAAATCGAAAAATTGAAGACCAGAAAGACCAAACAGAAAATTTAAAAAATCGGGAATCGGAAAGTTAAAAAATTCGAAAACCGAAAATGCGAAAAATCGAAAATCCGAAAAACTGAAAAACTGAAACATCGGTTAGTCAAAAATTAAGAAACACAAAATTGAAAAATCGAAGACCTGAAATCTCAGAAAATTGAAAATTTAAGAAATTGAAAGATCTAAAAATCGTTAAATCGAAAATTTGTATAATCGGCTGGGAACTGGAAAAACTAAAAAACCGGGAGAACGAATAATTGAAGAATCGACAAACAAAATCCAAAAATCGATAAACCAAAAATCTAATAATCGAAAAATTGAAAAAATGGGTGGTTGAAATATCGAATAGTCAAATAATTAAGAAACATTCAAAAATTGAAAAATCGAAAATTTGTATAATCGAAAAATATTGGTAATGGAAAATTTAAAAAACCGAGATATCGAATAATTGAACAATCGAAAGGTGAAAAATCGATAAATATAAAATTTGAATATGTATAATTGAAAAAATGAGAAATCTAAAAATGAAAAATCGATATCAGTTGAGGACGAGAAAAATAAAAATCGAAAAATCGGTAAATCTAGAATTGAAAAACTACAAAAGTTAAATTGTATAATCGAAAAATTGGAAAATATAAAAATCGAAAAATTCCCGATTTTTCAATTTTTTCTTCCACTTTCTGGATTTTCTGTTTTTCGACTTTTCGATTTTTTAAATCTCTCGATTTTTCCACTTTTCAATTTTTTCTTTCTTTTTTTGGAAAATATGATTTTGAAAAAATGACCTTGCTAAAAAATGTTGTTTACCAAAACTATTTTTGTGGTGAATTGTCTCATAAAATGAGAAACGGCGAACGAAAAGTGAGACACACTGTACATATTTTTATTTGTATTGCCAAATATCACTCGTTAATGGTGCCTGGGTCGAGGTCATCTGTGTTAATAAATAACGATATCTAATTCATTACATACGAAAACAATTTTTGATAACATCAACTTTGACCCCAAAATTCGAGACACCAGGTGTTAATTTTTTCACTAATTTCGGACACTTTTTCTAGATTCAAGGAACCGTTAGATAGTTGCAGATTATCTAATAATAAAATATCTATAGCAGATTTCCTAGTATTACCAGACGGCTGATTTTATAAAAATTGTTGACTTTACAGATTTTGGTTTATCTTTGACTCCGCGCAACACCATTACTAAACACGGCTATAAATATTCAATTATTAATATCCTAGACGTTGATTAATTAATTTAGAACTTGGTAGGGGAAGGTAGAGGACAAGAATTTGGGTATTTTAAGCGCAAAACACCTCCTTAAATACAAAGTAAGTACGAACTAATCAAAATATTGTCACACGAAAGTCAAAATTGATACTTATTTTCAGAATCAATTCTTTTAGAAGGAAATATATATAGGGAAAATCGTGCCCCTGCTATTCCCTACATGCACTGAAATGGAAACTTCCATCCGTTTTAGCGAGAAATAGATAAGACTTTTCTAATCGAACTAAAAATTGTCAATTGGCGTTTACCAAGAAAACGGGAAGGTGCAGGTACCACTTTCATTTTTACTAAGAGTAGTCACCTTTTTGTTTTAGATGATTCTCATATATTTGATTTTCTTTTTCCTCATCTTGTACTACCTGTACTCCAAGAACTACACCTTCTGGCAGTCCCTCAAAGTCCCCTTCGACAAACCCTTCTTCCTCTTCGGAAGCTTCTACAACATCGCGGCCCGCAAAGAGCACGTCTTTGAGCGCATCCGGACAATCTACAACGAATTCTCGACGCCATACGTGGGCATCTACATCTTCCACCAACCCATTCTTCTGATCAGGAGTCCCGAGATCCTCAAGAAGGTCTTGGTCAAGGACTTCGACAAGTTCACGAACAGGAACATCGCGACCAACGAAGCCGCTGATCCTCTGGCCTTCCACACGCTCTTCATCGCCAAAGATGCGGTATGGAGGAACCTTCGGGCTAAACTATCCCCAGTGTTCACTTCGGGTAAAATGAAGTTGATGTTTCCGTTGATGCAAGAGTGCGTTGATGATCTACACTCGTTTCTCAGTCAACACGCAGGTGAAGAAATCGAGGTGAAGATGATGATGAAGAAGTACTCGGTTGATATCATCTCGACTTGTGCTTTTGGTATCAACACGTTCTGTTTCCGTAACGATAATTCCGAAATTTTGAAAATGGCGACCAAATTAGTAGATTTTAAGTCGTTTGTAAGGAGTATTTCGATCTTCAGTTTCTTCTTTCTGCCGAGGTTTGTGGATATTTTTAGACTGACGTTCGCGGATAAGTCGGCATCGGATTATTTGATAAGCGTGTTCAAGAACACGCTGCAAGAAAGAGAGAAGAGGAAGATCATCAGGCATGATTTTATCGACTTGTTGAATAATTTAAGAAAGAGTGAAACGATCACTGATGGTTACAAATTTGGTACGTTGTGGATACTAATTTTGACAAAAATTGAACATTTTTTTGTAGATGACGATATCAAGATGGCGGCACAAGCTATAGCTTTTTTCTCAGCTGGAAACGACACAACGTCTATTACTTTAGCGCTTACGTGTTACGAGCTTTCGTTAAATAAAGCTATCCAGGATCGACTGAGGCAAGAAGTTACCGAAAATTTCCACGAAAATGGTTCGTTTACGTATGAGACCATACAACAAATGAAGTACTTGGACATGGTCATAAGTGGTAAGGATTTATCACCTCCTTGATCTTTTTTACGTTACTTTGAATCTACTTAGAAACCTTGAGAAAATACCCTTTGGCGCCATTTTTAACCCGAGAAGCCGACGTGGACTACACGTTTGAAGAAACCGGATTCACACTAGGCAAAGGCGTTTCTATTATTGTTCCAATTTCTGGGCTACACTACGATCCTCAGTACTACCCACAGCCGGACAAGTACGACCCTGAACGGTTTAGTGACGACAATAAGAAGAATTTGACGCCATATACGTACTTGCCGTTTGGAGAAGGACCCAGAAATTGTATTGGTATTTTTTTATTGTAGTCAAATTTTTGTCCTATTTTGCCACTAATTTTGTTTTAGGGCAAAGATTTGCGTTGCTAGTGAGCAAGGTGGCCATGGCGGCCATTATTAAGGATTTCGTGTTTGACGTCACTGATAAAACGCCTGTGCCGCTACGGTTTGATCCTGGTTCATTGTTTGTGCAAAATAGGGGCGGTCTGCACTTGAAAGTCACAAAAGTTTGAGATTATTTTAATGTGTGTTTCTAAATTTGTTTTAGAATAAAGCTGTACATAATAAATTTTACAAATCTTTAATTTATATTGTGACAAGTATATGGCGATCATAACCTCAAAAAAATTGACTTACATTGTTTTTACTTTTATAGGAAGTTACACTTTTAACACAGAGAAACAAAATTTTACTTCTTGGATTTTTTTTTTAATTTTTTAACGTCCATATTTTTCAATTTTCCAGGTCTGTAATTTTTTGTGTCGGTTTTTTTTACTGTCTTTATTTTTTCAATTTTTCGGTTTTTCTTTTTCTGTTATGATGTTGTAAATTTTCTTTTTTTCAATGTTAAATTTTTTAATTATTCGATTTCCATTTCAGCGATTTTCAATTTTTCGACTTTTCGAGTTATAAATTCTACAATTTTGCTTTTTTTGGAGATCCAACTAACCGATTTTCCAATTTCTTCAATTTTCAGTATTTCGATTTTACAATATTTATGTCGGTTTTTCGGTTTTGCACTTTTTCGATTTTTATATACCTTTTTTTTGTTTTTTCAATTTCTTTTTTTTTCAATTTTCCGATTTGCAATTATTCACTTTATCATTTTTTTTGTTTATTAAAATTTCACGAAATACAACTTTTGGAGTTTTCATTTTTAATTTCTTTTTGATTTTACAACTTTCAGATTTTAAAACTTTTCATGTCTACAATTTTTTGTTTCGGTTTTTTACTGTCTTTATTTCGCAATTTTTCGATTTTTCAACCTTTAAATTTTACAATTTTGCTTTTTTTGGATTTCCAACTTTCCGATTTTTCGATTTCTTCAATTTTCAGTATTTAGATTTTACAATATATATTTCGGTTTTCCGGTTTTGCACTGTTTTGATTTTTAAGATCATTTATAATTTTTAATCTTCCGATTTTTCAAATTTTCGTTTCTTCAATTTTTCAAGTTCTTGATTTACAAATTTTAGATTTTTCAAAGGTTTCATTTTATACTTTTTGGTTTTTTTATTTTAGATTTTTCAAAATTTCAATTTTGCAATTTTTCCTTTTTTAATTCGAAAAGGTGAAAAGCCAAAAAATTGAAAAATCGAAAAAGTTAGAAATCGAAAGATTACAAAACCTAAAATCGGAAAATTACAAATCAAAAAACTGAAGAAACAAAATATTGAAAGATTGTTTTTTCATTTTTTTTGTTATGAAAATTTCAAAAAATCCAGCTTTTGAACTTTCCATTTTTTTTTTATTTTCGTACGTTTAATTTTTTGTTTCGGTTTTTTGCTGTCTTTATATTTCAATTATCCGTTTTTTTTTCTCTTCTAATTTTGTAAATTTTCTTTTTTTCAATGTTAAATTTTTCAATCTTTCGATTCCCAATTTTTCGATTTTTCAACGTTTAAATTTTACAATTTTGCTTTTTTTGAATTTCCAACTATCCGATTTTCCGATTTCCTGAAATTTTCAGTATTTCGATTTTACAATATATACAGGGTTAGTCACGAGAGAATTACTTCTGAAAATTATTTTTACGCAACCCAAAATACGAATACCATGTACCATTTGATACTAAATGAATTTAAAATGAAATGCTTAATCCATGAATGCTTTGAGTTTGGCAATCTCATTTTGACAATTGTGGAAAAGGAGGTTACGCGAGTGTCCATGGTGGTACCGCAGGCAGGCAGAAATCTCCTCCGGCCCCGCTAATAAATTTGTCAGTGTGCTTCTTGATCTTTTGCAACCAATTAATCACGAGAAAATTATTTCTAAAAATTCCTTTTACGGCATTTTATTCAAAGGTTACAACACAAACTCAAACAAGTAAGTAAATAATTTAACTACTAATCTGTTGAAAATGTTGGGCATTTTGGGGGGATGCTACGGCTTTTTTGTAAATGGATGGCCGAAGAAGTCCAGAGGTTGCAGATTTGCACTTCGAAGAGGCTCTAGGTGACGCAGAGATGGCGAATTAACACATGCACATTAGCGGCGAACAACATTGGTAGAGCACTTACGGCTTCAGTATAGCCCAGATTGATCTGACTGCATGTCGTCGATCCAGTGGGGCTCTATAGGCGAGTCAACGATGAAAAAAAATGTTAAAAATTAACTAACGTCAAAGTGACACTGCCAAAGTCAAAGCAATCATGGATTAGGCATTTCATTTTAAATTTAGATAATATCAAGTGGTACAGGGTATTAGTATTTTGAGTTGCGTAAAAATAATTTTCAGAAGTAATTCTCTCGTGACTAACCCTGTATTTCGGTTTTTCGGTTTCGCACTTTTTTGATTTTTAAGATCCTCTATAATTTTTAATCTTCCGATTTTTCAAATTTTCGTTTCTTCAATTTTTCAAGTTCTTGATTTACAAATTTTAGATTTTTCAAAGGTTTCATTTTATACTTTTTGTTTTTTTTTATTTTTGATTTTTCAATATTTCAATTTTGCAATTTTTCCTTTTTTATTCGAAAAGGTGAAAAGTCAAAAAATTGAAAAATCGAAAAAGTTAGAAATCGAAAGATTACAAAATCTAAAATCGGAAAATTACAAATCAAAAAACTGAAGAAACAAAATATTGAAACATTGTTTTTACAATTTTGTTGTTTTTCCATGCCCCGGTCTTTCTTTTTTTTTCAATTTTTCGAATTGCAATTTTTAAAATTTTTCATTTTTTTTGTTATGAAAATTTCAAAAAATCCAGCTTTTGAACTTTTCATTTTAATTTTTTTTTATTTTCGTACGTTTAATTTTTTGTTTCGGTTTTTTGCTGTCTTTATATTTCAATTATCCGGTTTTTTTTTCTCTTCTAATTTTGTAAATTTTCTTTTTTTCAATGTTAAATTTTCAATCTTTCGATTCCCAATTTTTTGATTTTTCAACGTTTAAATTTTACAATTTTGCTTTTTTTGGATTTCCAAATATCCGATTTTCCGATTTCTTCAATTTTCAGTATTTCGATTTCACAATATATATTTCGGTTTTTCGGTTTTGCACTTTTTTGATTTTTAAGATCCTCTATAATTTTTAATCTTCCGATTTTTCAAATTTTCATTTCTTCAATTTTTCAAGTTCTTGATTTACAAATTTTAGATTTTTCAAAGGTTTCATTTATTACTTTTTCGTTTTTTTATTTTTGATTTATCAAAATTTCAATTTTGCAATTTTTCCTTTTTTTTATTCGAAAAGGTGAAAAACCAAAAAATTGAAAAATTGAAAAAGTTAGAAATCGAAGAATTAGAAAATCTAAAATCGGAAAATTACAAATCAAAACACTAAAGAAACAAAATATTGAAACATTCTTTTTAGAATTCTGTAGTTTTTCCATGCCCCGGTCTTCCTTTTTTTTCAATTTTCCGATTTGTAATTTTTAAAATTTTTCATTTTTTTAATTTATAAAAATCACGAAATCCAACTCTTGAACTTTACAATTTTTATTTTTTTTGATTTTCGTACTTTCAGATTTTTCAATTTTTCATATCTCCAATTTTTTGTTTCGGTTTTTTACTGTCTTTATATTTCAATTTTCCGTTTTTTTTTCTCTTCTGATTTGTAAATTTTCTTTTTTTCAATTTTTCGATTTTTCAACGTTTAAATGTTACAATTTTGCTTTGTTTGAATTTCCAACTATCCGATTTTCCGATTTCTTCAATTTTCAATATTTCGATTTTACAATATTGCAGTTTTTCGGTTTTGCACTTTTTCGATTTTTATGTTCAACAACTTTTCAATTATTCAAGCTCTTGATTTACAAATTTTAGATTTTTCAAAGGTTTCATTTTATAATTTTTCGTGTTTTATTTTTGATTTTTCAAAATTTTAATTTTCTAATTTTTCCATTTTTTTATTCGAAAAGTTGAAAAGCCAAAAAATTGAAAAAACCGAAAAACTAAAAATCGAAAAATTAAAAAATTCGATAAAGCTGAAAAATCGAAAAGCTTAAAAAACGAAAAATTACAAAGTCTAAAATCGGAAAATTGTAAATCAAAAAACTGAAAAATCAAAAAGTTGAAACATTATTTTTAGACTTTTGCAATTTTTCAATGCCTCGGACTTATATACTTTTTTGTTCTTTCAATTTCTTTTTTTTTCAATTTTTCCGATTTGCAATTTTTCACTTTTTCATTTTTTTTTGTTTATTAAAATTTCACGAAATCTAACTTTTGGAGTTTTCATTTTTAGTTTTTTTGATTTTCCAACTTCCAGATTTTTCAATTTTTTATGTCTATAATTTTTTGTTTCGGTTTTTTACGGTCTTTTTATCTCTCAATTTTACAATTTTGCTTTTTTTGGATTTCCAACTATCCGATTTTCCGATTTCTTCATTTTCCAATATTTCGATTTTACAAGATATATTTCGGTTTTTCGGTTTTGCAATATACAATAATGATTTAAAATTTTTTTCACGTTTCAATTTTATGGATTTTTGAATTGTTCAATTTTTCAATTATCGGATTTTAAAACTTTTTCGTTTATGCGTTTTCAATTTTTCAATTTTTATTTTTCAGTTTTTGGAATCTTCAATTTTTCGAATTCTAATTTTCATGTCCGTTCTTTAGTTTCTTTACTTTTTCAATTTACCGCTTTTTCAATTTTACACAATTTTAGAATTTTTCCATTTTTTAATGATTGAATTTTTGAACTTTTCTATTCATTTAATTTTTCAATTTTTCCATTTATTTTATTTATTTTTAATTTCTCAATATTTAATTTTCAAATTTTTGATTTTTCAGTGTTTATAATTTTTCGACTTTATAGTTTTGAGGTTAATATAATTTTTCGATTTACAATTTTTTACAATTTTGTAATGTTTCGTTTTTTCAATTTTTTGATTTATCAAATTTTTTCCAATTTTTTTTATTTTTCGATTTTTAATTTTTCAACTTCAAAAATAATAAAACGAAAAGTATAAAATGAAAATTTCGAAAAATCTAAAAATCGTAGATCAAGAACTTGAAAAATTGAAGAAATGAAAATTATAAAATCGGAATACTGAAAATTAAACAAATCGGAAAATCGCATAGTTGGAAATCTAAAAATTGAAAAATTGTAAAATTTAAAAATTG